AGTGTTAAATGCTATGACTGCTATGGACAAGAGAGCTGCATTGGAGGCAATGGCCAACGACAAACAAGTGGTTGGTGTGAATGCAATATTGGCTGAAGAGAAGGGAGGCCAAAGGGCATTGCTTGTCAACCTCTTAGGACTCATAAATTGAGCTAACATTGACGAGGACGTCGAGTTTCAAAGGGTATGGGTAGTTTGTTAGACCTCCGCCACTTTGAGCTTGACTTGACAACGAGAGTGTTGTCATGGGGCAGGAAGAGTATTGCCAAGCTAAGGTGCATGAGTAGCACCAAAGCAAAAAGGGAAACGGGCAAGTAATGGCCAATGCTTTGACGGAGGCGAAGCAACTTGGCAAGGTCTTGACAATGAGATGTGGCCTGAGGATGATACTTGATCATGGCAAAGGCATGAGGCAGTGATGCAAAGGCAAGGCAAAAACAAAGTGGCCAGGGCAGGCTAAAGTGCAACGGAAAGTAGTGCACGGGACAAACTTGTCATGGCATTGGGGTGCGACAAAGGGCCATGTTCGTGGGCAATGGCATAGGAAAAATGTGGCTTCAATGCAGGTGAGTACAAGGCATTGGCATCTGATTCAAGCCAAGGCACGAAAATGGGCAACAAGCTTCAGATTGACCATGTCAAGGGCGGTTACGGCACATGTTGTGCACATGGACAGTAGTTGGCTTTTGCTAAAAAGCAGGCAGATGGTATTATCACATCTTTGGCCATGTTTACATTATTTTTAGCACGATCTTACATGATCCTAGTAGTCGGGGGAAGTTAATTACACTAGGCTAAAATAGTGGGTTGTGTGGGATAAGTGTCTAAGCCTAAGTACGACAAGTGTAAGGCAAAGGGATTGTCTCAAATTTTATAAATGGACAGAATTATTATGCTTAAAGAGAGAAAAACATGTAGAATGCATATTTTATAGTTCGGAAAGAGTTCCTAAGTCTTTAAGAGAAAAATCTAAGGGTCAAGAGAGTGAAATTCTTTTGTACACGGCTGTACTTTGAGTTGAGTTTCTTTGTATGCTCGAGTTAAATATAAAGTTGGGAAAAGAGTTTCCTATATATTGTGCCTTGTGTTCTCTATATTTCTATTGCCTTTAATTAAATTTCATATCCTTAATCGTTCCTAAACTTACTACGTTGAAAGTTGCCTAAAAATAATCTAAGTCCAAAGTTGTTGTAATTTTGGCTAAGTGTTGCGAGTAGGCTGAAGTCAAGCCCGGGACTTGGCTGCCGCGCAGGCTGGTTTCTGCAGATAGAAAACACACTTGTGACAACTGGTATCAGAGTGGAGTAGATTCATTACGGAGACACGACGGGCAGTGGCATATTTTGTGGTCTTGTTTGAGAACATGGCCGGTGGTAACAACGAATTGTGGGAAAGGCTAATGAAATTGGAGGTATTGGTTGGAAATGTTCCTGAAGGTGAATAAATTCATACTCTCGTGACAAGGCTTGCATACCTTGAGGCAGAATTGGCAAGGCTATGTCAAGAGAATGTGGATCTTAAAAGTGAGATAGTGGTGCTGCGACGTTCTGTGGGCGAGGATGCTCCTCAACGTGGTGCTGATTGTCTCAAGATAAAAATTCCTAAACCTATGGCATTTGGGGGTGCAAGGACTGCATGTGAATTGGAGAATTTTCTTTGGGGTATGGAGAAGTACTTTCATGCTATTCGTGTGCAAGACAAAAAGGAGAAAGTAACTTTGACTAGCATGTATTTGAGTGAAGATGCTAAGTTGTGGTGATGCACTCGTGTGGCTAAAAATGAAAATTTGGGCAGACCAAAGATTGAGTCGTGGGAGGGCTTAAAAAAGAATTGAAGGAACAGTTCATTCCTAGCAATACGTCTTGGATTGCTAGGGACAAACTGAAAATGTTGAGACAAACCCGATCAGTTAGAGAATATGTCAAAGAGTTCCCTTCTTTAATGTTGAGCATCAGCAATTTGTCGGAAGACGACAAATTGCACAACTTCATGAGCGGGCTGCAATAGTGGACACAATTAGAGTTACATAGGCAGAATATTCAAAACCTCGCAAGTGATATGGATGCGGCTGATGCATTGGGAATTTTCACTTGATTGATGAGACTTTTGCTTCAAAGTCCAACGACGGAAAGAAGGACAAGGCAAAGGAACGGAAGAAATGTGAAAATAACAATGCTAATGAAGATAAGGGGAAGGCAAGAGGCTGGAACTTCAAAGAGCAAGGAGAAGGGCAGTAAATTCAGTGGTTGTTTCATTTGTGATGGGCCACATCGAGTAAGGGACTGCCCGAAGAAGGCAATGTTAAATGCTATGACTGATGTGGACATGAGAGCTGCATTAGAGGCAATGGCCAGCGACAAACAAGTGGTTGGAGTGAATGCAATTGTGGTTGAAGAGAAGGGAGACTAAGGGGCATTGTGTTTCAACCCCTTAGGACTCATAAATTGAGCTAACATTGATGAGAACATGGAGTTTCAAAGGATGTGGGTGGTTTATTAGACCTCCGCCACTTTGAGCTTGACCTGACAACGAGAGTGTTGTCATGGGCAGCAAGAGTGTTGCCAAGCTAAGGTGAACGAGTAGCACCATGGCAAAAAAGGAAACGGGCAAGTGATGGCCAAGGTTTTGACAGAGGCGAAGCTGCTTGGCAAGGTCTTGACAATGATTTGCGGGCTGAGGGTGACACTTGACCATGGAAAAGGCATCAAAACATTAGGCAGTGATGCCAAGGCAAGGCAAAAATGAAGTGGCAAAGGCATGCTAAAGTGCAACGGAAAGCAGTGCGTGAGACAGACTTGTCATGGCATTGGGGCACAGCATGTGCACATGCTGTGCACATGGGCAGCAGTTGGCTTTTGCTAAAAAGCTGACGGATGGTGTTAGCATATTTTTGGCCATGTTTGCATTATTTTTAGCATGATTTTACATGATCCTAGTAGTTGGGGGATGTTAACTACACTAGGCTAAAATAGTGGGCTTTTGGGACAAGTGTCTAAGCCTAAGTGCGACAAGTGTAAGGCAAAGGGGCTGTCTCATATTTTATAAATGGGCAGAATCCTTATGCTTGGTAGAAGAGAGAAAAACGTGTAGAGTGCATGTTTTAGAGTTAGGAAAGAGTTCCTAAGTCTTTGAGAGAAAATTTTGAGGGTCAAGAGAGTGATCTTCTTTTGTACACGGCTGTACTTTGAGTTGAGTTTCTTTGTATGCTCGAGTTAAATACAAAGTTGGGAAAAGAGTTTCATGTATATTGTGCCTTGTGTTCTTATATATTTCGGTTGCCTTTACTTAAATTTCCTAGCCTAAATCGTTCCTAAACTTACTACGTTGAAAGTTGACTAAAAATAATCTAAGTCCAAAGTTGCTGTAATTTTGACTAAGTGTTATGAGAAGGATGAAGTCAAGCGCGGGATTTGGCTACCGTGTAGGCTGATTTCGACGGACAGAAAATACGCTTGTGACACTAGGTACCTTGAAGCTATTTGTTGCTTTAACAAATAGGATTAATGACTTGCCAAGAAGTTATCAAAGAACCATGTCCCTAGATATACGTTGATGAATCGTGGTCAACCAAAATTCACTTAATTGATGCACTTGCATAAAAGGAAAAAGTGTCTGAAGTTGGGATTATTTAAGGAAGCCAAGTCCTATTGGGATTATTTTCCTTAACAAATTATTTCTGCGTTTTGGTTCAAAAATTAGAAAAGTATTCGACTCAACTTCATGCCTATATAAAGCATCAAGTTGCTGCTTTTGAGGCTAACACTATTTTCGCACAAACACTACAAATCACTCTTGGCAAATAGCAATCATAGTAAGGAGGTGCTTTCAAGGATTTAAGCCACACAACTAAAGAACTTTGTCTAAATATGAGCTGTCTAATTCTTAAGTTGTTGAGTCTTGATTTATTGTTCGTAAATTACAACCTATTCGTTTATTCATGAGAAGTATTGTTATAGGTAAATAATTTTGGAGATGTTTCTAGACTAGAGTTTATAGCCATGAAAGTTTAGCTACAATTAAGTTGATTGTATGAGTTAAGATACTAGAGCCGAGAGTCTATTGGAAACAGGCTTTCTACCTTTTTAAGGTAGTGGTAGAATTACATACACACTATTCTTCTCAGATTTCACTTGTGAGATTATACTGGGTTTGTTGATGTTATTGTTGCAGGAGTTAAGGTACTAGAGTTTAAAATACCTTTGGTTATTGAACTGTAACCTAAAAACTACTCGTGTTGTTTAGTAAAATTTGAGGAAAATCCTATGAATAGGTCATGATTTATACTTCTCTTTAGTAAGGAGGTTTTCCATGTAAATTATTTGTATTCTTTAATTTCTACTGTTTGGTTCTAAAATATACAGATTGAAGAACTAGTTCTTCAAACGGCGAAAATCGGGCAAGATAAAAATTCTCCTCCCCTCTCATGTCTAGGTGAATTCTAAATTAACAGTTTTTCACAATTAGCTACTTATTTTATTATGATATCAATGATTATATTTTGTAATTTAAGCATCCTCCCTAACAAAGTTTACATCATTGCAATGTACAGTCAGTACTCATTTACGCATTTTTTCTATAAAAATTGATCTAACTAAATGGGTGTTAAGCTGTTTTATAAGAATATTAGAGCCAATAGGAGTAGCTAAAAGCCATTTGAACATAAATAATTTTAATTTAGATGGCTGATCATAATGGGATTGTCTGTTCATTTCAATCAGGAGGTAATCACCGCATAAACCTCCTTTTTGTATTTTTTTATAACTATTATATATAACGTAATTAATCCTCCACCCTATTTTTTGCAGAGATGTTTGATTGGAAATAGCGTTTAAGAATGAACGAGAGCTTTTTAACTTGTAAACTTAAACATCTAATCGAAATTTCTGTGGTTATAAATTTTGTCATTAAGGATAAATTAGAAGTTTAAAGTTACACGTTGAATATGACATTTTATAAAGCACGATCTTAAAAAAATAAATATTAAAAAAAAAAAGGAGTACCTGCATTAGACCCTTGACACAATCATTGGTGAGTTTGACCTCAAGATTAGGATCCTCAGCTTGCTGCAGCAAAACATCGACCATGTCTCTTGGCACAAAGTTCTTCTCTCCCCTATTAGCCTTGTGATCATCTAGCACAAAGTTATGAAATTTGTCGAAGTTCCTATGCAACTCCTTCATTTGCTTGACATAACCCTGCAAATCCAAGAAAGCAAGCCAAGGTATCCAGTCCCCAATATTGATCACACCATTAAGCAAAAACCACTTATCAAGCATATCCTGCAATTGTTTCAAAGTTATCATTGAATTTTGGCCAGGTGACTCGCTAAAATATTTTCCACTCAATACTGTTCTACTTATACTTGTAAGAGTGTACCGAGTTAAATGGTCTCTAAGAAGAATTGGCTTCCCAGAGAGAGCAAAAAGACGTGAAATCAAATTATGCCTTTCCTCTATGCGAATGTACTCAAATGAATCCAAACGTTTAGGATTGAAAATCTCGTTGAGATAGATCCTCCTTGCTTGTCTCCAAAAGGGTCCATAACGTGCCCATGTCATGTCGCAATAATTATAAGCAGTATATTTACCAGCGGCAAGCTCAGGGCGAGAAGCCCAAATGGCATCATTTGTTTTCAAGAATTCTCTAGCCATATCTGGGGAGGATAAAATAAGGACATTGCGCGAACCGAACTTTAGTAGCATTAAATCTCCGTATCTTTTTGCAAGTTCGTGAAGGGATCTGTGAGGGGTGGAACCAAGAAGATGTATATTGCCAACAATAGGCCATGGTTTTGGACCTGGTGGAAGATTTTGTTTACGACGAGGACTATGAAGAAACTTTGAGAGAAAAACTAATGTAAGAAGGCCTGTTAAGGCTAAAACTACCCAGGAATTCTCCATGTCTTGGTGCTGGAGATGTGTCTATTTTTTTTCTCCTCAGTGGAGATGTGTTTATCAACTTGGTTATTTTATGCAGGGCAGGCTGAAGGGGTAGGGGAGTAAGGTCAACGCTTTGGGGGGCTCATTTCCTAATAATGACTGGAGTAGTAGTAAATGTATAGATTGCCTTTTCCTTTTAAAACGGTACTTAATACTACTATTCTGAGTTTGTAATTGGTCTGAGTCAGACCGTCTGGTCTGCCTATTGAAAAATTAGGTAATGCTAAAAACTCCCCTTAAATTTATCTTACACCTGAATGTAAATTTTTTTTGGGGGGGTATTTACATTTAATATTGGAATATAATCCAAATTATGCTTATCTATCTTTCTTTCTCACAAAAAAATGTGTACTTTCACTGCTTTAATCTTCTCTCCAAGTAAGTTTTGTCAATACAAGGTCTGAAGTGTTAGGGATATAGTAGATATGCCCTATATCCAATATCATATTTGATAATTGTTAGAGATACAGTAGATATGACATAGATCCAATATCATATTTGATGATTTGAACATATTTTTATGAACGTTATTTGATATAAAATATATTGCATTAGATATTCTTTTATCATAGTTATTTTTAATTGTTTGATTAACTTGATAAGGTCCTTGATTAAATTTTGAGACTTGTCATCGTGATAGAGATCATGATAATGAGAGCAAAGTTTTTTACAATTTAATCTAAATTTGTTCTTGATCGTAGGATTACTAATTTGAACATTAGTAATCCAGATAGATCAATTTTTATGTGATCGTCTTTATGGGATAAAGATTAGTTGATCTCATTAACTAAATTACATAGATAGATGATGCATATAGAGATATGGTCATTGAACCGACTCATTGGATAATTCCTAATGGTTAGAATTACCATAAACTGTCAATAGGATATTCTCTTGAAGAATGTGATGTAAGAGTTT